CAGATGGGGATTTCCATGTTTTTTTTTTTTTTGTTTTGTTTTTGTTTTTTTGCAGACTGGATTACATTGGAGGTAGGCGGGTGTAAATGTACACAAGTCCGTTTACAGCTGCTGGTCCATAGGGGTGAATGGGAGGGTCTGATCGGGTCCTGCAAAAATGACAGGTGGACCTGAACAGACCCTGCAGATCTGAATGCAGATGTATTGTTTCTATGGGTCCATGCACATAGCTGCGCCAAGATCAATAAACTCATGCCACATTCTGATTTATAATAATAAAAGTAATAGAATCCACGCTTGAGGTCCTACAATTGTGCTAATCTTTGCATGCGTACAGCACAAATGTTTTCTATTGGAGTACAATAGCTGCCTGCAGGGGCGGACTGACCATTTGGAAACTCGGGCACTGCCGAGGGCCCAGGGTCAGTAGGGGGCCCATGATATGACCCTGGTACCTTTTTTCATAGGTTTTTTTGAGTTTGAGCAAGGACATGGGGCCCCATGATCCCCTATTGTCCGGGGGCCCCATGAGTTGTCAGTCCGCCCCTGGCTGCCTGCATCCTAGCAGTGGCTGTCTATGTCCTAGTATTGGAGGATGCTAGGCAGCAATAGCCGCCCACATCCTAGCAACGAAGGACAGTAGCTGTCAATGGCTGCCTGTGTCATAGCAACAGAGGATGCAAGGTGGCAATAGATGCCCACAGCCTAGCAAAAAAGGATGCTAGGCAGCTGTAGACACCACATTCTAGCAACGAAGGACCCTAGGTGGCAATGGCGAACGGTGTCCTAGCAACAGAAGATGCAAAGTGGCAATAGACTCTTGCATCCTGGTAATGAAGGTTGCTAGTCAGTGATAGACGCCGCATCCTAGCGACAAAGCTGCAGTGTACGCCCATTTCCCATTAACGAAGGTCGCAAGGCAGCAATCGATGCTTGTGTCCATGCATCGAAGGGTGCTAGGCATCACATCCTAGCAACAATTGACACAATGTGGCAATAGCTGCCCACATCAAGTGTTACATGTGTACAGAGCACTTTTATGTAGGATCTTGCTGATGGCAAGATCCTGAGTACTAGTTGCTGTATTTTCATACATCCATCTGCAAATACCTGTAGACTGCAGGTGCATTATTGTCCTTGTGGGAACATTGCCTAAGGCGCAATTCCATGTGCGGGACAGTTTTTCAAATCTTGTGGATCTAGAGAATTTTAATATCAAAGGACACACACGCACGCACACGCGCACACACACACACACACCAAACGCCCCTATAGCGTTTGTCCGGTGTTTGTGGAGCGTTTTTAACACTCAGCAAACGCCGCATGCGTGGTTTAGCGGCGGTTGCTAGGCGTTTGCCAAGCGTTAATAACGCCCCACAAACGCCTATAATGCATTTGAGTGGTGTTACCGCTCCCGCAAACACGTCGCAAACGCCGGGCGTTTGCGGAGCGGCACCATAGACGAGAATAGGAGGCTTCAAAGCCTCCTGACTCGACCAGAGGCATCCGTTTTGCCGGGACGCAAACGCTCCTGTTAGAACAGCACCATGTGCTGTAATGTGCAGAATTGGTAAAAACGCTTCCCAAACGCCTCTCTGCCACCTGCACACAAGGCTAGTGTGAACGTAGCCTTACTGTGCCTTTAAAAAGTCCACCTCTACTCCACTCATTAATCTAACTTGGTAGCACCTGTCTGAGCTCTCCAACAAAGACACCTGTCCACCCCACAGTCAGTCAGACGCCAACTACTACCATGGGCAAGACTAAAGAGCTGTCAAAAGACACCAGAGACAAAATTGTGGACCTCCACAAGGCTGGAAAGGGCTACGGGGCAATTGCCAAGCAGCTTGGTGAAACTAGATCAACTGTTGGAGCAATTGTTAGAAAATGGAAGAAGCTAAAGATGACTGTCAGTCTCCCTCGGACTGGGGCTCCATGCAAGATCTCACCTCGTGGAGTATCACTGATGATAAGAAAGGTGAGGAATCGACCCAGAACTACAAGGGAGGAGCTGATCAATGACCTGAAGAGAGCTGGGACCACAGTTTCAAAGGTCACTGTCGGTAGAACACTACGCCGTCATGGTTTCAAATCATGCATTGCACGGAAGGTTCCCCTGCTCAAGTCATCACATGTCCGGGCCCGTCTGAAGTTTGCCAATGACCATCTGGATGATCCAGAGGAGGCATGGGAGAAAGTCATGTGGTCAGATGAGACCAAAGTAGAACGTTTTGGTCTAAACTTCACTCCTCGTGTTTGGAGGAAAAAGGATGAGTTGCATCCCAAGAACACCATCCCTACTGTGAAGCATGGGGGTGGTAACATCATGCTTTGGGGGTGCTTTTCTGCGAAGGGGACAGGAAGACTGCACTGTATTAAGGAGAGGATGAATGGGGCCATTTATTGTGAGATTTTAAGCAACAACCTCCTTCCCTCAGTCAGAGCATTGAAGATGGGTCGTGGCTGGGTCATCCAACATGACAACGACCCGAAGCACACAGCCAGGATAACCAAGGAGTGGCTCCGTAAAAAGCATATCAAGGTTCTGGAGTGGCCTAGCCAGTCTCCAGACCTGAATCCCATAGAACATCTTTGGAGGGAGCTGAAACTCCGTGTTGCTCAGAGACAGCCCCGAAACCTGACAGATCTAGAGGAGATCTGTGTGGAGGAGTGGGCCAAAATCCCTGTTGCAGTGCAAATCTGGTCAAGAACTACAGGAAACGTCTGACCTCTGTAGTTGCAAACAAAGGCTTCTGTACCAAATATTAACACGGATCTTCTCAGGTGTTCAAATACTTATGTTCAGCAGTGCAAGACAAATACATTTTTATATATATATATATATATTACACATTTTGAACTATAAAGACTATAGAGCATTTGCGGCCTTGCAATTAATGTCTTTGTAAAATGCGTCTAAAAGTTGCCTTTTTATGCTTTTGAGATCATTTAGGTTAGCTGCACTTCTCACAAAATTCTTTTAAACCTGCCACATGAACAGATAGGATATATGTGCAGTCATACATAACCAATCTTCACCCAAATGAGCATCCGTTGCAATAGTCAGACCTTGCAGAGCGTCCCACATTTGTTGTTGGCACTTCTAACCTCTTGGAGTATCAGTATCTTTGGAGTCCAACCCTTCCCCTTTCTATTGAAAGAGGAGAGATTGTTATCAACTGAGTCATTGAAAAGGTAATGATTGGTCTTGGTGAGCTTTAGAACAGATGGATGTCTTGCAGCCTGTCATTCTCATTGAGATGTTGCACCCTTTATGGCCGCTAACTGAAAGCCCAACTAAATCTTCGGGATGAATCTGCTAAAAACATTTCAGGTGCATTAAAACAAAAGGCTTGCAAAGTCTTTAGCTGGGTATACAAGGAATGAAATGTGGCTGGTTCAGAAGGGACTGGACAGATCTGTGTCTGGCTGTCCCTGTTTGATGGAAGCTGTTGCATCAGCTTCTGTGAAATGGAGCTGCTGTCAGCGTACGTTTTCCGGGGAGGGGTCTGCATTCTTCTCATCCCCCATCCCCATCATTGTTGGTCAGTTGCACCTAAACTCCCACCTCAATTCCAGCAAAAACTTTATTTTCTGTGGTAGATTGGAGTTAGAGACTGTGTTGGATTTTTATTGTGCAAATTTCTCCTGTGTCAGGACAGGAAGTGATGGGAAATCTTTTAAATTGTTTGGTAGTAGTTTCTATAATTCCATGCCTTCCTTACCCAGTTATACCCACACCCCCATTTCTTACAACTGGGAAGTAAAATTTTTACAATTGGGGTCACAGACGTAAAAAGTCTTCTCAAATGTGTACAAAGCCTAAAAGAAAATAGTGAGGCTATGTTTACAGTACATATAATTAGCATTGAAAGTAAAAGGAAATCTCAAAATGTGGATTGTTCCCAGAAAAAAAATAGAGGCGGGGTGAGGACATTTTTGAAAAACTTTCTTGTCCAGGGACTAAATCAATGTCCCAATCTACATGTCCTGATAAAAAAAAAAACATATATTTTAACCAAAACCATATTTAGATCTGCTTTAAGTAATGTTCGGGGCTTTTAAAAACAAAAGGGGCTTTATGGCAACTTAAACATTTCATATTTTTAACATTGCACTGCTTATCGTCTCCTCCCCTCCCTGCCTCTCTCCAGCACTGTACCCAGGGACTAGCAGGGAGGAGAGAGACCTTGCAGTGTAATGAGCGCTCATTGGGTGCTCATCAGGAAAGGGGAGTGTTGGGCTTATCCTTTATCCATTTCTCTGCCAGAGCTGTTTTTGCGATTTTTGCACACGTTAAAAAATCATTTAAGGCCTGAAGATGACACAAAACCCCCAAAACATATATTTTCTGAAATCAGAGATCCTAGAGCATAAAATATCGGTGTTTTCAATTTTTTTATGTCACACAATATTATCACAGGTGTAGGAATTTGCAAAATTTCTGTAAAAAATACACTTGTTAATTTTAGGGAACAAAAAACAATAAATTATCTAATTTTTTGTAAAATATAATATATGAGATTGCATCGAGTAAATAGATATCCAACATGTCAAACCTTAAATTTTAGATGCGCTCGTGAAATGGCAACAATCTTTAGTACCCTATATTTTTCTATAGGTGGGGATTTTAAAGCCCCTTATAGGTTGTTAGTTTAGTGTTACGGAGGAGGTCTGTTGCTAGAATTATTGCTCTTTCTGGCGTGTGCAGTGATATGTAAAGTGTATCTCAATCGTTGTTTTCATGTGTAGGTGCCCCAGCGCGTGCTTTTACATTTGTGCATGCGTACATATGTGGGGGTGGGGACCTTGAAGAAAAATTTTTTTGGGGGGGAATGTGTTTTTGTGTGTGACAGGTTCTCTTTTTTGAGAGATTTCCTGTAACGGAACCGGACCCCGACTGCACTAGGGTATTTCCATTAGACTCCCGCTTCCCTGTCTGAACACAGATCCACGGACACCACTTGAAGTAAAATCAGGAAATAGACTGCTTTATTTTAACACAGACACAAGATATAAACATTCAAGAGGACAACCCACCTCCCTGCATAAGGAGTAAGAAACACATCAGCCGACAGTCCCATCAGGGGGAAGGGCTGGCGGAAACACCCCCCACCAAGCCAATACACAAACACATACATCCCATAATAGTTTTGCTCCCAAGCAAAACACACAATAGAACAATGGGATGCACCACATGGCAGTACAATGAACAACCCCCACACCCCACCTATACATGTCTACACAATATCAGGACATTCCACCCTGTACCCCTAAGAGGCACAGGGTGACTTACACATAAGAGGGATATGGGGAGCTGAGACAGGGGTCTCCCCACCTCTCTAAAGTGAGCTGGGTTCCATGGGCCCCCCACCCAAAGTCACTCCCGTCACATCTCCGCTGAATGTAATGCAGTGCACATCGCACTGCATTACATTCTTTCCCGGCCTCAATGACCGGGAATCTGTCAAACAGGGACCCAGAAGTGACATCACATCACATCCGTTCTACTCCCTCCCCTATACCACATCCCGCTGGCAGCCACTGAACCAGTCCCGGGCCCGCAGATGGGCAAGCGGAGCCCGGGACATATAGTGGGGAGAGGCTGGCACTGTGGGCTGTGTGGAAGCAATCTGGCAACACCGCTGCCGCCCGAATACTGCCACCGGACAGGTGAGCCCTGCTGCTTGCCCGCAGCAGGGCTAAAGGCGAAAAAAAAAAAATACCTGGCTGGCGCCCGGAACTGCATGTCCTGGGTGTTGGGCGATCTGAATTGCACATCCCTGAGAGGGGAAATCTTCCAATGGGGACACTAGTTCTGGTGACCTGGAGGGATTCCCTTAATTTGCAGGGATTTCATCTCACTTCCTGTTTTTATGGGACAGGACGTGAAGGGAAATCTCCTCACATGGACACAGATGGCAAGAAATAAACCGACAGGTTGTTCCCCTCCCTTACTCTATCCAAAATTAAAAAAAAGTTTTGCCCATAGTTCTACTTTAAGCAATAACTCTCCGCATTGCCCAACTGCAGTCTGAATCTCCTTTTTTCGCAGTGTAATTTCCTGTTTTTTCTTTGTAGGGCAGGTTTCAATCTGACTAATGACTGACACAACACAGACAGCTGGTTTTAGACCAGAAATGGACAAGCTAGTGTGTAATTCAGGGGCCAGGCAGTTCAACCAGCAAGTAGTGCTTGGGTTGAAGAAATGTGGGAGGTTCCATTATTTCTTTGTTTTTTGAAGGTGCCGCCTTTGGGTCTGACATTATCCCATCTTTACTGTGTAGTAAGTTCCCGCACACACCGGGTGCGACTTGGCATGCGATTTGCATACCATACGACTTGCAAATCACATGGCAAGTTGCATTCTATTGTCCTCAATTACAGCGGTCCAATTGGTGCGGTTCTGACTTGGTCAGAGCCGCACCGATTTCTAAAGTAGTACATGCACTACGTTTGGTGCGATTTTGCATAAATATCTGTGTCGGATGTCTTGCAAATCGCACCTCGTCATCTGCCTTTGAAATCATGCAACTTCCCTGTAAGTTGCACAATTTCAAAGTCGGGATCGGTGTGACCGGGGTGTCACTGACTTGGGCCGAGCATGCACAAATGTAGTGAAGCTGGTTTAAAGAACTCTCATGATAATTTAAAAAGTAAATATTTGTACATAAATGCAATTGCATAAACCTTGAGAGCTAGTTCACACTAGGTGCAGTTCAGTGCACTTTTTTTCTGCATAAAAAATGCATGTGCAGTGTTTTCCAAAGGCCCTGGTTCACACTAGTGCAGTCAGTTTCAGTCATTTTCCGGTGCAGAAAAAAATAGAACATGCTGGATTTTTTTTCTGCACAGAACCATACTGGAACATGGCAAACTGCATCAGAACTGCAGCGGGACTGCGTGTGGTGTGAACTGTAAGCAGAAACCTATCAGGAGAGCATTTTTTATAGTGTGAACTAGCCCTTAGGCATCTTTCATACTGATCTGCTTAAAAAACACAGCATAAATGTATAGGCACTTTTGCTGCACTTTCTTAGCGGTTTTAAAGAACACGTGACTTAAAAACTGCACCAAAAACGCTTCTCAGAGGCGTTTTTCATTGATTTCTATGGGAAGAGGTGTTTTTGGGGTGTTTTTTTTCTTTTAAATCACCAAACATGCCCCAAAGATGCTGCAAGCAGGAGTTTTTTTACACCGCAAGTGTAACGCCTCAGTGTAAAAACATAGGTATACATTCCCATACACAGGGAAGCTTTTTTCTTGAGCTTTTCAGGCGCTTTTTTTTTTTTTTTTTTTTTAGCACAAAACCGCTTCAAAACTCCTCAGTGTGAAAGTAGCCTTAATTGTTTGTTCCATGGACCACAATCATTTTTTAAATTTTTTATTTTTTTTTCTTTACTGCTGCTCATCTCCTTTTTAAAGATTTCACTTTTTGTGGGCATTACGCTTATAGGGCAGAGGGAGGGCAGAGGGAGAGCACAGCTGGCACCGCCCCTTGTGGGGTGTGCCTCTGCCACGTGGTGACATCATCAACACAGACGTTCTTTCTTCCTTCCTTCCACAGCTGGCTCTCCACTGCAAATGTGCGCTCAGCCAGCATGTAAGGCTCCATTCACACTTGGGCCTTGCGTGGAATCGACACAATTCTGTCCATGATTTGAACACGCGCTGTGAAAGTGCGATCATAGGGCGTTTTTGACGCAATCACAGCACGTTTTTCCACACACCAAACGCGCCGCGATCGAACAAACAAATTTAGGGGATGCACGACGCCCAGGAATCTTCTTTGGGCGTCGCGCATCCCGCAATTTTGTTTGTGCGATAACAGCATGTTTGCCATGTGGAAAAAACGCCCTGAGTTTTCAGGTGCCATTGAAATAAATGGCACTTGAACACATGATCGCGCGCATTTTCACACTTGCACTTGCATCTTCAACTCGCAGACAGAATTATTATATTATTATTATTATACAGTATTTATAAAGCGCCAATAGTTCGCTCAGCGCTGTACATTACAGAGGGGGACAGAACATGTGACAGAACAATACCAATACAATGCAAAACATGAGGGGATCGAGGGCCCTGCTCTTTCGAGCTTACAATCTAGGAGGGAGGGGAATTGCAGAGATTACACCTGCGATTTGAAATTCCCTAGTGTGAATGGATCCTGAATGGTCTGCAGTCTTCTGGAACATGTGACATGTCTCTGTGGGCTGTGGGAGGGGTATGGGAAGAAAGAGAAGTCATCCTTGCCTATGCGAGGTTTGTGGAAGTGGGAGCAGGTACTGATGGTAAAATCAGTTCTTGTTCCATCTCTCCCCTCTCCCCTGTGGTTCAGTTGCAGGCTCAGGGGAGAGGGCAAGCCAGCAGGACTTCACTTTTTAAAGGATAACTTCACCTTTTAACCTTTTTAACCTTTCTGCCTCTGGTTTTGTAGTGCCGTATGCTGCCAGTGATATGAGTCTGAGGTAGAGGGGAGGAGATTGGTGAGGGTGGGGGCTTTAAAGAAAGTGTTTTGTTTTTTGTTTTTTTTATTGTTATTAAAGGATACACCTTATTAACAAAAAATAATAAATACACTTTTTTTTTTTTGCATTTTTGTCTTGGGAGCCTGGAAAGCGTTGCACCTATGATAAGCAGATTGCTGGTGCTATGCAGGGCTCCTGCAAACCTGTAAGTGTATCTGTCTACTTGTACGGGCAAGCAGATACTCTTGACAGTAAGAATCAATGAACTACCACCGTGGTCCACAGCGCCATGGTAGTTCATTGAGAACTACAAGCCGACCGCTGCAAAGGCAGACGGAATTCATAGTTTTCCCATTCACAGAACGTCACAGATTCACAGAACAGAAGAGTGATGTAGCTGGGTGGGCGGAGCCCCACTCTGCCACTTTTTTAAAATTGTGACAGCCTGTGGGAGATGATCCCCCACTAGCTGTCACAAGGGGGGAGCAGGGGGCGGTCTTTCGTAACATGTTACACCCTGAATATGAGTGTAACATGTTTCGAAAGGTGACCTTATTCTTTAAGTGACGTCCCACTTTAATGATTTTGTAAGTGTCCCGTTCAGAGCCTTTTATGCATTTATTATGTGTCAGTATAGTCAAAGGCAGCTGAGATATCACGCATGCCTTTAATGCATGGCCATAGAAGAGCTTTGACTTTTAAAATACATATTCTGTACACTGATTATCATTGATATGTGAATGAGCCCTACACCTTATGCTCTGTGAGCTCCCTCTTTGGATTCACTTTTAGAACGCTGCTCCTGGGTCCTAAATTGTTTATTTTGCCTCTTAAGAAATCTATAGATGTTGTGATTGATGTTGGCCATGGTCCAACCTCTCCATGAAAGAAGCTAGTTGTGTGAGGGCTGTGTGACCTAATCCTGTTTTCGGGTGTGTTTAGCCTCCTGTGATGTAGATGTAGCTCAGCCCTGGGGACTGGCCCTCTGTGTTCCTGGGTGCGTCAGGTCCATGGTAACTATCTTCCTAACACAATGAACCTGGAAACCGTGACTGTCCTGTATGTGTACTAGACGCTAAAGCTGAGCTGCTTGTGGCTTGTCATAGGATTTGTAGAATATGGACAATCTGTGAGACAAAAAAGGGAAAATAATTGTAAAAGTCAGAGGCTGGTAAAGACATAAAGAAAACAGAAGGAGCCTTTATACACATTAGGAAGCTGTGGAAACCTGTCACGTCATGGACTGCAATGGAAGGAGTACATTGAAATAGCTTTTATTTTTTTGTTTTATTTTTAACTCATTCAGACCAGGCAAGTTACTATCTTGTGTCAGAGTGTTGTGAAAAGATCCTTACGGTATATGTGACCCTTTACATTTAGATTAAAATGAAAGGCAAAATATTTTTGTGTAGATCTAAAAAACATTTATAAATACACTTTTTTTTTTTTTTTTTTTCTTTCTTTTCTCTTTTTCCTGTTCTCAGCTACATAAGGGGTTTAGATTGATAACTGGGGGGAGGAGAAATAGCAGAACATTGGTCTTTCCTGTGAATGGCTGTGTGTGTAAGGGAGGGGCGGTCTGGAGAAGTCTTGTTCATGCTACAGCAGGAACATATCAGGAATAGGAAATGTTGGGTTTACACATATATATATATATATATATATATATATATATATATATATATATATATATATATATATATATATATATATATATATATATATATATATCTCTCTATCTCTATATATATATATCTATCTATCTATCTATCTCTATATATATATCTATCTATCTATCTATCTATC